CTCTCATCATCATCATCATCATCATCATCATCATCATCATCATCATCACCATTGCTTCTCTCATCCCGGATCAGGATATAGGCCACGAACAAACGCTTTCCACCTTCCCCTAGTCAGCTGCTGTTATTCCATGTCTTCCCACTTTTCTGTACATCGATTTTTGTGATTCTTCTCCAGGTTCCACGTTGTCTTCTGCTTGATCCTTTACCCTGTGGGTTCCAATCCAACACTTTCCTTGTTATGCAGCCGCTTAACTCCCTGAGAGTATGTTCAATCCAACACTTTCCTGGTTATGCAGCCGCTTAACTCCCTGAGAGTATGTTCAATCCAACACTTTCCTTGTTATGCAGCCAGTTAACTCCCTGAGAGTATGTTCAATCCAACACTTTCCTTGTTATGCAGCCAGTTAACTCCCTGAGAGTATGTTCAATCCATCAGCAGAGCCTTCTTCCCACCTCATCTTTGACTAGGCTCTGTCTTGTTCTCCCTAATATTTCCTGGTTGGTAACCCTGTCTGTAATAATAATAGGGGAAAAAACCCCAAAATCCTAATGGGTGACTTTGGACGTAGTTTTTGATGGATTGAGTTGGGATTTTGAATCCCACAACTCTCCTGTTTCATCTATTGAGTCTGGTTTGTTTGAATACGTAAACAGGATAGTAAGACCAGCGATGTTAGAAATAACGCCAGGATTTATATGTGAGGCAGCGTGGTGGGATCAGGCTCTCGTCAAAATAATCAAAGTGAAGAATTTTTTTCTGAAGAATTGGACAAGAATCTGAAGAAGAATGTTTCTGCAGGTTTATGAATTTTTATGAATTTTTTTTTATTTTTTTTGGCTCAACACCTTTCATGCCCATTAAAGAACTCATTTATGTGTGGATTTTTTTCTGAAAAACGTTGGTTAAAGGTACGGAAACATGTAATTTTTTCAGTTACCAGGGACAAGCTAAGGAAATAACGAATCTTTGGCGGCCATTTTTTCACAAATTTTGACTCTGAAACAAGTGAACCCCACCTCCTTCTTTTGCTAATATCTCGACTTGTATTCAAGATAAAAGAATTTCTTTTCATACAAATAAAGATAAATGAACAAGCTTTAAGATGACACCAATAACTCTACATGCCCCAAACTTGACGAGAACCTGATTCCACCTCGCTGCCTCACATATTATTAAAACCATCCTTACGACCGAAACCATCACCCGGATCCGATAGACTCGTTCATCCAATACAGAGATTCTTCCACGTAGCGCGAAGCTCTCTCGCACTCGGTTGGTCTACGTCACAATATGGTTACCCCGGAAACCCAAGACGCCATCGCTGCTCTCCCTTGCCGACGAGATCGCGCCGTGCCTCTGTCGTCTGCACGGTCATCGCCCAAAGGATTTGCAGGCGCCACGGAACGCAGACTAAAACTACAACATCCCGCGTGTTCTTCCAGACGTGAACATTCTGTTTCTGTGTAGTAAGAGATGATGTGACAAAGGAAAATATTACATCTTTTTTCCCTGAGAGGAACTGAAGACTTTTAAGGCCTTATTGGATACAAGACGCGCTGGTAATGGGTTTTTTTCTTCTTCTTCTTCTTTTAAACTGACTGTTTAGTTATTGGTCGAAACAATTAAGTGATTATTAATACGGGCTTTTGATTTCTGTTGTCACTAATGACTGTGCAGTATCAAAATGTGTATACTACTGTCCAATAATTATGCTGGCTATTTTATATGGTCAATATACAATGTAATGGATTTCAGCTATGGCTAGAATATGTTGACTTATTATTAATTATTAATCAATTTTGTTTGTTTGTTAGTTATTTTATTAGAGCATAAAGTATTTCATCAGTACTTATATTATGTTGTTGATTTTTCATGAAGCCATTTTGTTTTTTTATTTGCTACTTATTTTATTCATTTATCTCATTAATTTTTATGGGGGGGATATTATGTTGATTTTGGATAAGGGGTGGGGGAGGGGGGGAAGCAGGGGGTAGTACAGCTGAGGGCTACCTCACGTATTTGTGCATCAAATTTGACCACATATCACAAATACAACAAACATAGTAAAAAGTCTTCAAATATGCAATCAAATTTTAGTTGAACGTCTCGTCACAATGGAGACGGCAGCCTTACTAGATTTTAGGGAGATGTTTTATACTCTTAATGCCTCAGTTATTTCCAAAGGAAATAGTTGGTTTTATTTATTTATTTTTTTCATGCAGGTTAGCTTGTTGTCTGTTGAGTTTTTCCTTAACGAAGTGTTTTACACTCTTAATGCCTTAAATATTTCCAAAGGAAATAGTTGTGTTTTTTTTTGTTTGTTTTTTTTTCATGCAGGTTAGCTTGTTGTCTGTTGAGTTTTTCCTTAACGAAGTAAAACGTTTTTTGGTTCGTTTTTTTTTTGTGAATTTTTTTCTTGATCTGCTATTCAAGGTTTCAAAGAAACGAGTGACAGCCCACACTCCAGACACCGCCTACACAAAACCTTTTCGTATTCTGAACATTCAACCCATGATTTTATAGTGTTGCTTCTTCTCTTCATTTGGTGGAATTTCATGAAAATCGGAGGAAAAAAAAAAGGCCAAGTTATCCTTTTTAAGTATATTTTTTTACATTAGAGAACAGGCGTTTTGAACAAAAGAACAATAAAGATAAAAAAGTGACTTTAAAAGGGAATGGTGTTGCCTAGCATGCCTGATATGCGTCAAAGTAAAACCTTTTGGGGGGTTTTTATACAATGAACTGTTGAAACTGCTGCAGAAGCCCAAAATGCCCACGTCTAAAAATTCATAATTTTGACCCAAATTGGAACTTTCAGCTACCACACCCCGTCCTTAAACCATTATGTTTTTCTGTTTACAACGAGTAATTTTTTCAGTAACTCTAAACAATCATCTCAGCTTGTACTCGGTATCACTTTCTTGTACATACCCATAATTAAAATTTACCAATTCCAGCAAATACGAATGTGAGGCGTGCTGACAAAATGAGTTACTTCTCGCAATCCACATGTTGGTTTTAAAAAATCGACATTAGGGTCAATCGGTACATTTACTATTGATGACGTATTCTTTAACCATAGCCTGTCTTGTATTATTTTGTACTTTTAAGGCTTGAATCCAAGAAATAACTCATTTTGTCAGTAATCTAAAAGTTCAAACTGAATCATCATTGAATAGATCGTTAATTTCTACTCAATTTTGAGTTCATTTTATGCAAAAAAGACTTAACAGGATCAGAGTTATAGGGATGTCTAAGGGGTTGAAATTTTTGGATGAAAAGATTGGCTGCATTAAAAAAGTGGGGTGAGGGTGGGGGGGGGATTATCTTTCGTACACTGAGAGAACTGAATCTCATCAGTTCCTATTTTATGTTGATTTTTGTTCTTTCTATTGAAGCCATTTTATGTGTGTCTTTTGTATTTTTATTATAAGAACAGACATTTTTTATAAGTTCCTTTTCAATATATTAACTTCTCCTTTTTATGTGTTTGTTACGCTTTTTTTCTTATAAAAACATAACAAATGTCATATGCTACTTTTCAAAATTTTAATTTAAGTATA